CATGAATTTGCTGAGAAGATTGCTCAGCTATGAAGTTGGTGCTCTGTACGTATTAAAATGGCATCAGCAAACACTCCCAAATAGTTCATATAGACTCAGTTTGCAACCTCAGAATATTTAAGTAATCCTTCCAACCTGAGATCCTTTGCAAATGTATTCATTTATTCAAATTCTATAGCTGCCTATCTCAATCCATGAGTCTGGGCAGCTTACAGTTAAAAAAAAAATACAATTAAAAATGCTAAAAACACATTTAAAACACTAAAGGCATCTGGTTTAAATGTACATAGGAGGAAGACACTTGGTCAGTTAGCAATATAAGCAGTCCTCGACTTATGACTGCAATGAAGAACTGCTGCTAACTGCTGCTAACTGTTTTCAGCTGCTAAGCAAGACAGCTGTTAAGTAAGTTTTACCACCATTTTCCGACCTTTCTGGCCACTGTTGTTGAGTGAATCACTGCAGGTTTTAAGTTACTCATGTGGGTGTTAAGTGAATCTGGTTTCCCGACTGACTTTGCTTGTCAGGGTTGTGGCCCGCCAGCAGCCGGCAGAGCTGCCAGCAGAATCGGGCAGTGAGGAGGTTGGGGAGGAACATGGGCCAGTCTTGGAGTCTGGGGAAGGCTCTGATGAGGGCTCTGCGTCGGAGGCAGAGATGGGGCCAGGGCCGTCTGACAATTATCAGCTGCCTTTGGAGTTGGAGATCTGTGGGGCAGAAGAACAGCTGGAGCCTGTTCCCAGTGTGCGCATGCACAGAGCTGTCAGGAGAAGGAACAGTTAAGGAACAAGGGTTGACTTGGGAGTAAAGCCACAGGTGGATGTAAATGGCCCCTCCCATAGGGAATAAACAGGAGCAAAGGGGGATTGGTGTTTGCAGGAGACAATTAGTTTGTTTAATTAGTATGAAGATTTGTTTGTGACTCTCAGAGACTCCTTGCCAAGTATTTTCTTGTACAGCGTTACACTTGGAAGGTATCAGCCTGGCAACTCTCCAGGTCTGATAAAAGTCTGTAATTGTGGAATATCTTGAAAGACTGTTGGCCAGGACTTTGCTGGAGAGGAATTCACTGTAAACTAAATAAAAAGGGGTTTATCAGGACAAGGAGTCAGCTTCGTGCTGTTGGGGAAGCCTAGATCAGAAGGTTGCAAAGGGGATCATGTGACCCTGGGACCCAACAGCCATTATAAATACATGCCGGTAGACAAGCCTCTGAATTTTGATCACATTGGATGCTGCAGTGGCCATAACTGTGAAAAATGGCCATTCACCTTTTGCTGCCATTTTGTAGTTTTCTGGATTTTTCCAGTTCAAATGTATTCTGACCTAGGCTTCCCAAAAGCACGAAGCCAATGCCTCGTCCTAATAAAACCCCTTTTATTTAGTTTAAAGTAAATTCCTCTCCAGCAAAGTCCCGGCCAACAGTCTTTCAAGAGATTGCACAACTACAGACCTTCATCAGGCTTGGAGAGCTGCCAGGCCGATATATTCCAAATGCCATGCTGTAGCAGCAATTACTTGGAAAGAGTCAGGAACAGATCTTCACCCTAATCAATTGAACCTAATTGTCTCCTGCAAACATCACTCCCATTTTGCCACTCTTTATTCCCTATGGGAGGGGACATTCACCTGTGCCCTTACTCCCGAGTCGACCCTTGTTCCTTAACTGTTCCCTTCTCCTGGCAGCTCTGTGCATACGCATACTGGGAACAGGCTCCAGCTGTTCTTCTTCCCCACAGATCTCCAACTCTGAAGGCAGCTGATAACTGTTGGACGACCCTGGCCCCATCTCTGCCTCTGACGCAGAGCCCTCGTCAGAGCCTTCCCCAGACTCCAGGACTGGCCCATGTTCCTCCCCAGCCTTCTCACTGTCCAAATCTGCCAGCTCTGCTGGCGGGCCACAACAAAATGTAAACTCCCCTTTGGGGGTAGGAAAGTACATGATCCTAGACTCAAGTTAGGTCAGAAAACTCTGGGGCTTCAGATGTGGTCAAACTATAATTCTTAGCAGTAGCTGTACGCGTTGGGTCTGCTAGCAGTCATAATGTAACGAAATCTGGCAGCATCCTTACCTTTGATTTAGACCCCAAAGGGATAACACTGGTTCTTTGAAGCCAAGCAGCTGATGCAGAATTCGTCTCGTGTTTAACATGTTCCAGATGCTTTCCCCACCATCTTTTTAAGACTGCCCCATATAAAGCTTTTAGACTCGCTTGCCTAGATTTAAGCAGGCTATGAATAAACAATGCTGATATTTCAGCAAATCCATTTGTTTTACTGAAACAAGGTATAAACCATGTTCTTCTATGGGTATGCCCTGAGAATCTTGCTTTGGTAAACCAGTTTCCTAAGTAATGGTTTTAACAATCCAGATAACAGATAATCAGAGTTGGAAGAGACCTTGTAGGTCATCTAGTCCAATGCCCTGGCCAAGCGGAAGACCCTACACCATTTCTGAAAAATGATAGTCCAATCTCTTCTTGAAGGTCTCAAGTGATGGCGCTCCCACAACTTCCGAAGGCAAGTTCTGTTCCATGGGTTGATTGTTCTCACTGTCAGAAAGTTTCTCCTTATTCCCAGGTTAAATCTCTCCTTCTTCACTTCCCATCCATTACTCCTTGTCTGGCCTTCGGGTGTTTTGGAGAATAGATTGACCCCTTCCTCTCTGTGGCAGCCCCTCAAATATTGGAACACTGCTATCCTGTCTCCCCTGGTCATTCTCTTCTCTAGACTAGCCTTGCCCAGTTCCTGCAATCATTCTTCATATATTTTAGTCTCCAGTTCCCTAATCATCCTGGTTGCTCTTCTTTATACTTTTTCTAGAGTCTCAACATCTTTTTTACAATGTCTAAATCCGTCTAAAGTCCTGGTTTTACACAGAATGCCCCTATTTGTCGGAAGCTTTTAAACAATTTTTCTGATAAGATTCATCAAACCAGAATGTTTATTCTCAAGTTCAGTGCAAAAGGAGGAAATGCTTAAATTTAAAGCTTTTCGTGGAACAAATCAAAGTTTCAAACTCGAGTCTGGGTCAGTCACAGGGAGCAAAGGTTTATTCCCAGGGACAGACCCAGACTGGAGTTTACTACATTATTCTGGGACACATAGCAATAGCACTGATATACTGCTTCACAGTGCTTTACAGCCCTCTCTAAGTGGTTTACAGAATCAGCCTCTTGCCCCCAACAATCTGAGTCCTCATTTTACCCATCTCGGAAGGATGAGTCAACCTTGAGCCTGGTGGGATTTGAACTGCCAAATTGCAGGCAATGGGCAGTCAGCAGAAGTAGCCTGCCCTACTGCACTCTAACCACTGTGCCACCGAGGCACAGCACAGATATTTATTTTCATTCTCAAATGAAAGTTTCTTCGAAGCACAGCGTTCATTCTGAACTAAGCATCGAGCCCCAGAAATTAGCAATCTTTTGCTTCCTCTGAATAATATTTTCCAAATGTTTAAAGAAAAATTAGGCATCGATAAATCTCTATGGCACAAGGAACTGTTTCAGAGTTTTAATCCTGGTCTGCAGAGCACTGAATAGCCAAAGTTTATAAAATTTAATAGTTGAAGGAAATCTTGGGGAAAGAGTTACGGGCTGATATAAAACATTTACTTGCTTTGTGATTTAAAAAGAACCGTGAAAGACAAAAGGATAAAGAATGCTCTTTTAGAATATAGTAATTTAGTAAATTTACCAGTCAGTGACTACTTCAGCTTCAACTGCAACAATACAAGAGCACACAACAGATACAAACTCATGGGACACATCCATAGCCAAGAGTCATAAATCATGCTCTCCAGTTAGAATTGTGCATGGCAGAAACTTCAGTCACCTAGTTACTATCTTTAAAAACTATTTATGGAATTCACTTTTGATTTCCAAGCTTCCGCACTGCTCTTTCAAACCCCTTTCCCCCCTCCCTTTCTGTTGGCAACTCTAAAAAGACCATATAAATATTTTATCAGTTGACATTCGGCTCCCCACACTTCTTGAAGGTGACCTGTACAACACAAAAAGAAAACAAATTTATTGCAGGAATAGGACTTAGAGTTGCGAAACACACACACACCCTGGTCTTGGTTGGATTTTCTGCATGGAACCTCGTCACAAGGCAATTGGCTTGGACGTTCCTACTCTTTACCCAAGATGCCTCTGATAAGGGGTAGCCCTTCCACTTGATTAAATATTGGAGTTGTCTCCTGTGCCACCTCGAATTGAGGATTCGCTGCACCTCATAATGGGTTTGGCCTCCTATGACCATGGGGTCTGGGGGCTCACAAGGTAGGGGGCTCAGGGTCGATACCGAGCCAATACCGTAACTCAGTGGTGGGATTCAACCGGCGCAACAACTGGTTTGGTGAGCACGTGTTGCACACTGCGTTTCATTTTTCAGCTCTAAAGCTTACCTTCTACTGCAGCCCCGGTGAGTAAAACAGCTGAGGCATGGCAAAACACTGTGCTCACGAATCAGCTAAGCTGCAAAACACGGAAATAAAGGACAGACTAGCGCAAGGGCAGGTGGGCAGGGCCAACTGGTTGCTGGAACTACCGGTTTGCTCGAACCGGTCCAAACCGGCTGAATCCCACCCCTGCAGTAACTCCTCAAATTACAAGCACAATTTCTGTTGCTAAGGGAGAGATTTGTTGTGAGTTTTGCTCCATTTCCAGACCTTTCCTTGCCAAATTGTTAAGGGAATCACTGCAGGTGTTCAGTGAGTAACATGGTTGTTAAATGAACCCGGTACACTGCAGCCATCCTAAATAGGAGCCAGTGGGCAAACGTCTGAATTTTGATCACAGGACTGCTGCAAGAGTCATAAGTGTTGGTCATACGTTCGCTTTTTTTTTTTAGTGCCGTTGTAATTTTGAAGGATCCTTAAACGAATTGTAAGCTAAGGATTACCTGTATACAAATTGGTAACTTATTGGAAAATGAATTTTCTACCCTGTGCATGTGGGTCAGATTTCCTTTCTTGTTTTTTTTTTTCCTTTCCTGTGCAGACGATGGAAATGCTTAAGGCAAAGGTGACTAGGACACTAATGTAAGTGTAAGCATGAACTTCTGCACTGTGTGGTGGAGTTTCTGTGTGCTTCTGGCAAATAGAAAAAACTTTTGCATGGCTTCTGCTGTGGTTTTGTGGCCCGAGCAGCATGCTTGATACTTTGCTTGGCTCCACCGATGTTCGTTTTCCCAAGGTCGTACTAAAAGTTGTCGTTTGTGTGTTTGTTAAAGTGCTCTGCAACCCTTTGCGTTAGCACAGCATAGGTAGCTTAATTTTTTGTCCCCATCTAGTGCTTTCTCTCCCTCCCTCCCTCCCTCCCTCCCTCTCTCTTTCTTTCTTTCTTTCTTCTTTCTGTCTCTTCCTTCCTTCCTTCCTTTATTTATTGCAACAGCTGGAGAGCTTGTTGTTTCTTTATTGATTAGCCCTTGGGCTTTATCAAAGTGCAGAAGTCCAGAAACAAATTATTACTATAATTTGATAAAAGCAGTTTAAAACAGAATTGGAATAAAATACGATTTCAAATGGACTTGGAAGAAAATATGATTTTAAATGAAATTGGAAGAAAATACAGTTTAAAATTTAATTTAGAAAACAGGTTATCCACCACATAACTAATTTTTCTTCCCCTGTATCTAGCTAAATTAAATTATTTATTGAGTTTAGAAAACGGATTGTCCATCGCGTAAAAGTAACAGGATAACCGAGTTGGCAGGGACCTTGGAGACCATCTAGTATGACCCCCTGCTCAAGCAGGAACCCCTTATATATTATGCAGTTCTTTTTAAAAAGACACCTAATTGTTATAGTAAAACAAAACAACATGATAAAGAAACAGAGGAGGGGGAAAAAGCTTCCCTGTATTAAATTGCCTAGGAAAAAAAGATTCTTATTATTCAAGCAACATAAAGAGGAATTTAAACTATCCACTTCTTGTGCTGTAAAAGTCATGGAGATTAGGAGATTGCTTTGCCTATAGCTCCCTCACCTTTTTTTTTTTAAAAAAGCAGAATTTTTTTTGTTTAATAATGCATTGAATGCTATATTGATCCTGCAGTGGTAAAGTTTTCCCTGGATTATATTGCTTCAGGCTGTAATTAAAGAGCTGCACATTTGAAGAGTTTGTACTCTGTGGTACAAGAAAACAGCACACTTGGGAGACATTTGTCAGAACTTAGGGGATCCAGAAGCCGGCAGTAAGACACTATCTTGAGATGTAATTTGCAGCTCCCTGGAGCTACCAGAAGGAATAGTCACATAAAACTGTTATTAATGGGTGTCCCCCACTATAATCTGTTATTTATTCATTTGATTCTATCCGCATAACTAGAGGTGGTATTCAGCAGGTTCTGACCAGTTCTGAAGAACCGGTAGTGGAAATTTTCAGTAGTTCGGAGAACCGGCAAATCCCACCTCTGACTGGCCCCGCCCCCATCTCTTCTCTGCCTCCCATTGAGTCCCAGCTGATTGGCTGGGTCTTCTTTGGTTGCCCTGCACAGGAGAACGGAGCTGGAAAGCAGGTTAGTGGGGTGGGGAGGGAATTGGGGATTTTGCAGTAACCTTCCCCTGCCATGCCCACCAAGCCACACCCCACCAAGCCACGCCCAAAGAACCAGTAGTAAAAACTGCAAGGGAGTGCAGAGTGGTGAGGACAGCAGAAAAGATTATTGGTAGGTCACTCCCTTCTATCCAGGACATGGCATACAAGGGACGCTTGAAGAGGGTCTGCAGGATTGTCTGGGATGCTACACATCCTGTTTACAACCTGTTTTCCTTGCTACCTTCTGGGAGGGGGCTTCATGGTATCCAATACAGAAAACATCTAGATTCAGCCATAGTTTTGTTCCATACAGCATCAGCCTTATGAACCTCTCAGATTACCTCTTTCTGCTACATATTCAAGAGAGAGAGAGAGAGATTAGATAAATAGATAGATATGATGGATGGATGGATAGGTAGATAGGTAGATAGATAGATAGATAGATAGATAGATAGATAGATAGATAGATAGATAGATAGAGGTACGATAGAGAGAGAAATGAGAGAGATGATAGATAATAGATAAAAGG